GTGGGTGTGGGGGGCAAGATCTTGAACTTTCAACTGGGTGGGGAAAACCAGGAAGCTTTCAGATTCAGGTTTTCCCAGATATGCCAATGTGGCTCTCTTAATAAATTTGAGGAATCATTTGCTTTGGACTCTGATTTACTTTTGGATGCTATTTGGAACCCTGACATTGTGGGGAAAAAGATTAAAACTATTACTTGTGGATAACTAACTAAACAAAATGTTTAATATTTAAAATTAAATTTGAGGATATATGTTATTAACCGTAAAACAGAATAATAGATGGAAATAATATGTAAAATTTGATTAATTTGGAGTGGCAAATAATGATACTGTCAAGATATTAAGAAGAAATTAAAATTAAGCGGGAGATTATGGAATGAAAATAAGATGACTGAAATGTAAAATGGTAATATGTACTATCCGTAACAAAAAATGTAAAAGGAGGGAAACCAGGACAACACTTCGTTTATAAAGAAGTTAAAATATGCAACAAAAAATAAAATAAAACTTTGTTTAGAAGAAAACAACGCAACGTGAATGCAATCATAAACGAACTCTGTTATTTTCCCAGACTCCAAAGTTAGGAAAAGTTCCCGAGCCATCAAGCCTCAACCTGCTGAATTGAGGAAAAATGTATAAAACGTCCTCCCCTAAATGTTGGAAATGCAACCAGATTCCAGGGACCTATTACCACATGTGGTGGCCATGTAGGAATTACTGGAGGGGGGTGGAATCATAATTGGTTGGAAATGATAACTGAGCAACATATTGAATTCATTGAGTTCTGACCCTCTCCTCCGTCCAGTAACGAATGCCGAGACAAGCTTAACTGGAATGTACTTTAATAGCAAGACACCAAAACCTCTTGATGCTCTCTGAGCTTGGTTGTTTTCTCGTAGACGTTTTGTAATCCAACTAGGTAACATCATCAGTGCTAGAAAGGGGGGGGACGGTGGCAGTGAAGAGATCGCATTTCTGAATATCCTCCTTGGGAGAGAAATGTTCCTCGCGAGCCCCAGCATCCCACCCCCCATTCCAGAACGCTTGTTGCTTAAGCTGGCCCCTTTATCCTGCCAAGATGGGACACAATTGGCACGGCATAGAACCAGGTTTAAATCTCTAAAGCGGGGAAGAAGTGAAGCTGGATCCTTCTGGGTCCCTGTGTTTTTCCAGAACCAGAAGAAGGAGGGAAAAAAAGGGGAAAGTTTTCCTCCAAAGTCCCTTGCCCTACACAGATGGGGAATGGGTGCAGGGGAATTTTCTTGGCTGTGGCCATGAAGAGTCCCACATTCCTCGTGATGCTGAATCAGAGGAATTGCCATCTGTAGCTTGGCAGAAGATCTCAGCAGCTCTTTGGCTGAAGTCAAGTGTGGAGGACGGTTTGAAATGTTGCCAGGAGCCCCCCCTCCCATCCCCCATAGGCCTCCCCCCCCCAATCTTTTTGGCCAGGCCACAAAAGAGGTCTTGGAGATGTCACCGATTGTGATCACACAATTCCTCGGCTTGACCTGTTTTTCTATTCGCACGACGTATTGAATGGGTTCACCAAAAGAGCTTAAAAGAATGGGACGGGACGGAATGGGACTGGACTGGGCAGGAGAGGGGAGGAAAAGAGAGGAAAAATAGAAAAAATAGAATAGAAAACACAAATGAATGGAAGAGAGAGGAGAGGAGAAATAGAAAAAAAGAGAAAATAGAATAGAAAAAAAATGGAATGAGAGAGGGGAGGGGTGGGGTGGGGAGAAGAGAAGGTAAGAGAATAAAAGAAGAGAAGAGAAAACAGAATAGAAAACAAGAATGGAATGGAATAGAATAGAATGGAGGAGCAAAGGGGAGNGTACAGATTTTTAACAAACACAGTCTAAAATATATTGAGAAAAAAATAAAAATAAAAGGTTAATAGCATCTCTACATTGATCTGTAACCAAAATCTGTTGTACTTTGGACCAACTTCCAGAAATCTTAGACTCAGCCATGCTGGTCGGGGAATTCTGGGCGATAAAATGCACACCAGCTGGATTTCTTCTGCCAAGTTTTCATCTTCAGATTGACTCCTCTCTGTTTCTCATCCGCTATTTTTTCCTGCAAATTAACTCAACCTTCGCAGCCACCTTGGGAGAATTGCTTCTCCTAAAAGGAAGAAAGCCCGTGGCGTTGACCATCCTGGGCAGCTGCCAGCTCTCCGAGGGCGAGCTTGCTGACGTGTTTGTCCTTTGCCAGATTCCCTTCTGCATATTCATAGCACATTCTCGGCTCGTTTCCTGCTGGCATCTGGCCTGCCCCTGTTTTTCCTCGGGGACCTGCACTGCAGGGAGGGTTTAACTACGTGGAAGAGAACCGGGGGTGGAAGGATGAGCTGGTGTTTGATAGCCTGGAGGAGTAATTACAAGAAGACAAACCAACGTGGGATCACTGGGGAAAAGTTTTGGGGGGGGAAATTGGGGAGAGGTACTAAAACAATAGAATTAAAACAGAGAAAAAGGACTCGAAAGAAAAAATATAGCAATTTCAAGATCAAGAAAATGCTAGATAAATGGGTGGTGAGAAGAGATTATAAGAGAAAAGAACCTGAGAGACTAAGAGAAAATGGTTGAAAGGAGGAAAGAAAGAAAAGGATTTTTTTTTTAGTAGAATGGAATGAAATCTAGTAAATATAGCCAAAGGTATATATTCTTTTTTCAGAAAATGCTTTTCTTCCGAGGAGAGGCTGTCTGTCAGGCCTGCAGCCATATTCCTTTTGGATCTTTGGCCTGCCACACTTTCCATTAGTCTACCACGCCTTTTCTATTGTGGGAAAATGGGAGGGAGGATTGTACGGAGTTAGATGCTATGTAGCCATAACAACATTCTTTCTAGAAAGCCAAGGTCATCCTTTGTCTCTGCACCTGACCGGAATTGGACAGGTGGAACTCCCAGCATGGCAGTGGGAGATTGGACCATGGGATGGGCTTGTGGGTGTGGGGGGCAAGATCTTGAACTTTCAACTGGGTGGGGAAAACCAGGAAGCTTTCAGATTCAGGTTTTCCCAGNAGGCCACAGGTGGACGGTGAATGGCCCCTCCCAGAGGAAATAAAAGAGGAGCGAAAGGGGAGTGGAGTTTGCAGGAGACAATCAGTTCGCTTAATCTGTTCGTGATTCTCCGAGACTCCTTGCCAAGATTTGCAGAGATCGGCCTGGCAGCTCTCCAAGCCAGATAAGGTCTGTGACCATAAATCCTCCCTCGAAAGATTTCGATGGGTGTGAATGAAGAGAATTCACAATGAATTAATAAAAGAGTTTTTTTGTCACATGCGTGCAAGGCGCACTTGCCAGCGAAAGCATCCCATTCTATATAATCGCTGCGTTTTTGACGCAGTGCACATGTGCCCACGGCATGCAAGTCTATCCCGTCCTATATAATCGCTGCGTTTTGGACACACCGTGCATGCGCGCAAGGCATGCGTGCTCACAGTTTCGATTCTGGGCGAACCGGTTGTTAAATGATGTGAAGGCCACCTCTGTTTAAACTGGATTGACTTCACATCTTTGGAACAACTTCCCAAGTCCCGCAACGGATAACTGGATGCAAAAGTTCTTATTAGCAGAGCTGGCTGAATTGACTGCTTGGGTTAAAGAAAAGAATACAATTAATTTTGTTTTTATATATTCTGGACTTTGTGCTTGAGGTGGAACCCCCCCCAAAAAAAGAAACTTTGATTTTGGATTTTGCTGATTCGATAGGTTTGTGGTTACCGGTAGTGCTCGACTTAAAATAGTTCCCTTAGTGACGGTTCTAAGTTGGGAAAAAGTGACTTATGACTGTTTTTCACATTTACGACCATTGCAGCATCCCCAAGGTCACGTGATCAAAATTCAGACGCTTGGCAACCGACTCATAATTATGACGGTCGCAGTGTCTCAAGGTCACGAGATCTTCTGACAAGCAAACACAGACTCCCTTAACAACCGTGTTACTGACTTAAACAGCTGTAGTGATTCGCTTAACAACTGTGGCAAGAAAGGTCCTAAAATGGGGCAAAACTCACTGAGCAAATGTCTTGTTTAGCAGCAGAAATTGTGGTCGTATGCCGAGGACTACTGTACTGACTTGATGACTTTATTTTCTACGCTAAAAAGAGTCGGAAATCAATGATTTCCTTTTCCTTTCCCCTTTTTTTCCTCCTCCTCTTTCCTTTTTCCTTCCTTATTTCTCCCTTATTTTAATTTTTCTTTGTAGCTTATATTTCGATAAAATCTATACTGCTTTGTTTTTTTAACCTTTATTGAAAATTTAAAACATTAAAATACAAACGCCTTTAAAAATAATTTTGTAGAAGTTGCAATTCTTTTTGACAGTACTAATATAACCATTTGATTATTCAAATACATTTTTATAAATTCCTAATTCTTCCTATATCTTATACATC